TGACAAAATATGTAATAAATGTGAATAAGATGAATTGCTCGCATTTTTTTTTTATAAAAGATCTAGTTATATAGAAATTCAAATAAATGATCCTCTTTCGCGCAAGACTTCATAATTCCTTCTCTCCCTCTCCTTTATGATCAACTAATTTACAAATTAAGACAATAAGAAGTTGTATGAACGAAAATGGGATAATCAAGCGGAAGAGTGAATGCAAAGGAGGTTTCATGTTGGATTTAAGATTGGGCACGCTTCCCTGTTATCGACTGTTTCCATTATAATAGATGAAAATTTCTTTACCCACAGAGCCGGCCTCTCGATTAGTTCATGCGCGCCACCGCTATGAAACTCTGATTGAACAGTTCCCATAAGCCTGAGCAATCTCCCTTATCTCTGGTCAGAGCATGTAAATTGTTATATACAGCTACAGCAGGTCGTCCAAATCTAAGGACACGGCAATAAAAAACAAGTTTAATGCAAACAAAATTTCAACAATATTGATTGTCAATTTCTGATCAACAATGACGAGTAAGAAAGGTGCGACATTGAGAATCGAGAATGAGATAGATAAATATCGAGGTGAAGGCAACTGGAAAAAGGTTATAGAACTCGCTGATCATTTGAGAGAATTGTACCCCAGTAATGGTGAGTTTCATCATTTCAATTTATCCTCTTTTATTTTCAATCACGAATACTTAACAATTTGAAATTGATGAGGAATATATGAAATCATTATTTGTAGAATGTCTGGCAAATTTCCTCAGTGGTGAGGGCAAATTGGAGAGTTTTTTGGAACAGACTCCTCCGATTGATGCTAATATTTCAAAAGCCAAGTCTGGACTTTCTGATGCTAAACGATGTCTGCTTGCAGCAGCTAATGAACATGATAAGCAGGTAAATACTTGATTATTTATTTTAGTAAAAAAATCGCAGTACTTGAATATCTCTAGTTATTAACATTCACTCGGTGCATTTTCACTTTATTCAAGGCAATTGTTGGTCTTGATGCTCATTTATTGCTTGGAAAACTGCATTACGCAATGGGACTCTACGAGGATGCTCTCTACCACTACCAGCAGGCTGAGCTCCATACATTGACTGAGAAACAGCTACCTAGTCGGAGTTTACGAATTGTTGCTGAATCATACGCAATTAAAGGTGAGAATGGAAACAACAAAAAGAAATAACTTTGGATGTATAATTTACTGTCCATGTACAGAATTGACTTTTCGCCAAGTTTTATTGACTATTTTTGGCATCTGAATTTCAACTAAAAGAAATATAATATTAAAGGTTTTGTGGTGGAGTGAACGTCAACTTATTTCATTTACTTTTGAGAATCTAATCGTAATGCAAACCGGGATTTCAGTAAATACTTTTCGGTTCTTTCCATTCAGTCGCATAGCAACCTTGAATGAAAATTCCGCCCAATCATGAATAGAATTCTAATGTTAAAATGGCTCGAAAAAAATGTCAATTACTGCATTCTTATCCATTAAAATTCAGATTAAACAGGTGACAGCGAGCATGTGACTAGAAATTTTCGACTTCGGAGTGCGTTTATCCTTTTTTGCTTCCGAATGTAAGCCTTGTAATCGATGATTTTTACGATCTCGTAATTTGGCTTGGAAATGATGTAGAAAGTCATGAAACGTGAAAATATGATGTTTTTAGAAATTGTATGTATATATGTCGGAATATGCATGCCGATTTTTCGGAAATTTTTTATTAATCCCCCTGACAAAAGGACTAAAGTTTGAGGTAAAAATCTGAAATTTTGTCGGATAATTGGTATTACTTTGGAGCATTTGTGGGCGCAAGTTCAGCTTAATCGGCCCAGTAGTTTCCGAGATATAGCAATTTCTCAAAAATCTTTTTTCCTTAATATCTCATGAACTACAAAGTTTTCGAGATGTCAGCATTTTTCTAAGTTTTTCATTTTAAAGTTAATGTGGTATCCATAATACGCGTCAAGCTTGGTCTAGACATCTGAGATTCTGGGTACTAATTTGTATTATGAGCCCACAGTTATGTATAAAATTTTGTGTCAATCGATTCAGTACATCCGGGCATAGAGCAATTTATCCAAAAATCTTTTTTTCTAAAAAAATTACACATCGTCATTTTATCAATGATTTTCGTCTCTATATGACTTTCGTTTAGAATTTATATCAAATTTTCATCTTCAAACTGTAAGTTGAGTTTATACTTTAGTTTATTTTATTTTTGACAACTCAATGAATTGTTTGAATTGTGTCATGTGACGTATTGGGATCGATCAATACATCGATTTAGTTAATAATTATATAATATAATAATATAATGCTGGATGGTGGGAACGAGAAATATGATTTCTCTTTCCTGTCATCCAGACACTGGTCACTTGGTCAGCAATCCCACGGTGTCATTTGGACACCGTGGTAAGCAGTCCCACGGTTTTTCAGGAGTCCAGTTCAGAACGATGAACTGTTTGACTGTTTGAGTCTCTGTCAATGATGACACGAGACAGTGTTAGTGGAGAAAACCGTGAGACTGTTTAGCTCAGCGAATTGGGGCTTTGCCAAGTTTTGAGGACTCTGGAAGCACCAGACTACGATCAGGAGCGAAGTCGAGCGGATCTTCAAGCTCATAAGTCTAAGTCCGATCTCTTAGCAACGCGTAACCGAACCCAAGTCGAAACCCTGTCGTGTATTTTAGTCAAATAATTATGAATAATACATCTATAACTTTTACCAGATAAATACACCTGTGTTTGCAATTACATACGTCCCCAATCCTTCATAACCATCCCCGAGTGAGCGAACCCCCCGTGAGCTCATCGCCAAAGTTAACCGAGGTCGAAGTGACAACCAAGGACCAAAGGATTACAGTGCAGGAATAGGTGTAAAGGTGTAGTGAAAAAGGAAATTCCTCACTGAGAATTTGACAAAAAGGAATAAAATCTTTACTTGAGTTTTACCTCCGGGTAAAACTCATAACGTCAGTCATAAACATAAAAATAATTACTCACTTTTGTGGGGTATTTTCTTCAATGTGAGGTATGAAATGTGGATACTCCACTCTCATTTCCATCTTGGATATCGGAGAAAAAAAATATACCGTTGGCTGGAGAGTAAGGAACGTTTTATGGTTTGCAACGAACCTGAAGTTGCTCATTATTTTTTATTTTGTTTTATTATCTACATAAGAAAGATTTTCTCAAATGGAACATCAATTTTTATCATAATTTCAAAATAATTGGACTCGTGCGATTGCATTCCTTGGCTTCGCCTCAGCCCGCAATTTTCACACTCGTCAGAATACTACATTACGCAACTACCGCCCACGAGAAAAGGGGGACCAGGCGGCGAAGCCCCCGATGGGGGGGGGGGGGGGGGGGGGGGGGGGGGAAGCCCCCCCCCCCC